AGAATATCTATTGATAGTATACCTTGTTTTTAATTTGTGAAGGAAGAATCCTAGGAGTCCCAGATACTTTTTTTGAATTTTTATTAAAATAAATCTTTATCGTAGGAACTCATCAGGTAGGGGACAATTTTCCAAAAATATACATTTATATATATATATATATATATATATATATATGATATGAATTACAACTCTTTATTAGTAGTTATACCTAGAATTAATCAAAAGCTAACAATGTCCAGGAACCATGTTGAAAGCTTTATCAGGTGTATTTGCATTCAGCTGCATACATCAGAAACATAGCTTAAAATTAGTGGCAGTTTATTTTTCTTGTGTACAGAGAAGTGCTAACATAACAGGTGGCTGTTATTGTAGCTTGAGTGTCAGCACCTCTCTTCTTTCCCTCTTGTGCTGGCAAGGTAGATAGCTCCTTTGGCTTCAGCCATTATGTTCTCCTTCCAGACAGGAGAAGGAAGGAAAACCAAGAACATGAAGGGTACATGCAATGAAGTGGGCCTCCCTTTAAAGGAAATTCTCAGAAATCCAACCCAAAACTTCTTAATCAAATTAGACTGAACTAGTCTCATGACCACCACCCATTTGTAAGAAAGGGTGGGAAACAGTTTTCTCCCTCTCTCAACAACACCCAGAATTAAAAGTTTTCATTACAGGTGTTTTAAAATAAATGAACAGCAACAAAAAATTTGTTGAACACATTTCTCAAATCCAAATTTGACCATGACTTTCTTATTTCCCATTGTATTAGTGTTCTACAACATCCCTTTTGGGAAATACTAGTATAATTACAATCTATTTCTTAAAATTGGCAATATCAATTTTTTCTCCTCAGATTGTGTGAATAAATAAATATACATATGTTTAGGAGAAGGTGATAGAAAGTGTTGGGAAATAGGAGTGCAAGAAGTATCTATTTTAGTTTTGTCTGTAGTTAAATTAATTTTTAGCTAATGAATTTCTCTACTGAAAGAAAATCATGTGACTCAATGTCAACTCAGTCTTACTCAACAAAAAAGGAAGCTATTGTTTTTTTTAAAATGTAATAGATCCTGCTTTCAAGAGAAAAACACATTTACATTTCAAAAAATGTTTATATGCTTTTGAATGGGCCTCAGAATAGGAACCCTCCCTTTTTTTTAGAATTCTCTTATCTGCAGTCCTACACAGAGGATCTTTTCATGAATTATCACCTGAAGTTTAACAATGTGTCATGTTGATTTCATCTCTACTATGTTGTTATAAGTCTTTGAAAAGTTGAGTTTAATTTCTCTAATCTTATCACATAAATGATAGTAGTAACACAGCATTCTTTTACTTGTTTTATAGAATTATTTATTTGAAAAACAGTTTTGGTGTTGAGAGAAAGGAAGAGGGAGAGAAGGAGGGAGGGAGAGATACCTTCCATCAGCTGGTTCACTCACCAAGTGACCATAACCAGGCCAAAGCCAGGATCTAGGGACTCCAGCCAGGTCTCATATGGGTGGCAGGGGACATCTTCTGTTGCTTGCCAGGTGCATTAGTAGGGAGCTGCTTTGGAAGCAGAGTAGCTGGAATTCAGACCAGAACTCAAATTAGCATTCCAGTGTGGGATCTGGGCATCCCTGGTAGCGGCTTAACTTCCTGCAGCACAACACCCACCCTTAGCATTCTTTTAATGATCACGTACTGTACTAAGATAGGGAAGAGATCATTGTTTATAAATAAAGGGCAATGCGTTTTACATATTAATCAAGTTAAATATGTAAAAAAATTGGTAAGTACTTTCTCTTTATGCCTCCCTCAAAAAGGCAATTATTTTCTCACTTTATGTGAAAAAAATAATATTTCAAATGAAAAATTATTGACTCTCTAAGGCCCTTCAAACAAAATTCCCACCTACACATCCCGTCTCACACTGAACTTGGCCCATCTTTTGTATAGTCAATGAACCTCTCCAGCAGTCTGCAGTCATTGATGTGAATAATAGACCACATTTCTGATGTATCTGTGGTTACCTATGATTTTTATCATTCTTTTCTGTGTCATCAGATCTTGTTAATCTTTTATAGAAGAAGGAAATCAGATTTTGATTTTCTAAGTATATGAGAAGCCAAGTAACCTTTCTATGATCCTATCCCTAGGGAGTGGCTAGAACTCCAAGTTCTAGTCCACTCCAAAGTTATTTCAAAACACCGAAGAATACGTGGGGAGTTGAGAGAGTGTCTGAGTTGGAAAGCAGATAAGTGAGAAAGAGATGTTTTTCATGACTCTTTCCTCTTATTCTTTGTGGTTGAAATAAGGTGTCAATTTCTTCACTATATTTTTTTGAACATCTCATCTTTTAAAAAAATTGATTCATTGGGACAATGTATCATCCTCTAACCATTTAATGCATTTGTTTATAAAGATGGAAGAGCCTCTTTAGAGTAGATATGGTATCATTTTTATCTTAGAGTCAAAAGTACCATAATACAAATAGTTGACACAGACTATATGTTTGTTAAGTGAATAAATTGTAAAATAGATGTCAAATGGATATAAGAATTCTACATATTGTGATTAAAATGTCTACTACTACTTGCTCTATTTCTATGTTTAAAACACTGTATAAGCGGCCGGCGCCACGGCTCACTAGGCTAATCCTCCGCCTAGCGGCGCCGGCACACCGGGTTCTAGTCCCTGTCGGGGCGCCGGATTCTGTCCCGGTTGCCCCTCTTCCAGGCCAGCTCTCTGCTGTGGCTAGGGAGTGCAGTGGAGGATGGCCCAAGTGCTTGGGCCCTGCACCCCATGGGAGACCAGGATAAGTACCTGGCTCCTGCCATCGGATCAGCGCGGTGCACTGGCCATGGCGGCCATTGGAGGGTGAACCAACGGCAAAGGAAGACCATTCTCTCTGTCTTTCTCTCTCTCTCACTGTCCACTCTGCCTGTCAAAAAAAATAAATAAATAAATAAAACACTGTATAAGGCATATACAGTAAGGTTATTGGTCCTTGAGGGAAAGAAGTGGCTTTTCTATTTGATTAAGTCATTTTATTTTAAAAGTAGTATGTTTGGGGGCCAGCAGTGTGATGTAGCAGTTTAAGCCACTGCCTGGAATGCCAGCATTGCATATGAATCCCTGTACAAGTCCTGGCTACCACATTTCCTAGCTAGATCCCTGTTAATACAACTGGGAAATCAGCAAAAGATGGCTCAAGCATCTGGGCCTCCACACCCATGTGGGAGACTCTTGGCTCCTGGGTGAAGCCCAACCCTGGTCATTACAGCCATTTTGGGAGTGTACTAGTGGGTCAAAGATTTCTTTCTCTTCTTGTTCTCCTTCTCTAACTCTGCCTTTCAAATACATGATAAATAAATCTTAAAAATTATTGTAAACATAATTCTCTTCAAGTTTCCATTTAGGGCTTAAATATATAGTGCACATATACTATTCATGATGGTCTGAGTACTGCTGCAGTAACTAATTGGCCTGAAAATATTCCAACTTGAGGAAATGCAAAAGAAGTTCACTTCTTACTGATGCAATGTCTTCTACGAGTCTGTTGACTCTCCAAGACAGCCTTCTTCAAGTGAGATTCAGGGATTCAGTCTGCATTTCTCTTCTAGTTCCGGTAATGGCTTTTAGTTCTCATGGAAAAGAAATGCTATTTCCCTGCCTTGTTCAAAAGAGATGAGGATAGCTTTCCCTCCCACAGCCTAGCAATCAGAACCACTCCTAGGAACCAGCATAACATCAAAAGTGTAGACTCCTAAAGAGAGAAATCAGATATTGGCAGGGAGAGTAGTATATAACATACAGTAAGTAGCACAGCCTGAGAGTACAAAGGGGTGTCATATATTAATTCACTCAACAAACATTTACTGAGCATTTAACCATTCAACACAGAAAAGTAAAATCAACTCATCTACTAATGCAATGGCTCCTAACCATAAAAGCCATGTACATGATAGGCTTATTATACAGATGTACTTTTAGGGAAAGTTACTGTTTGTCAGGAAAGTTGCTTTGTTATAACAGAATAAAAACAGTAGAATATTCATTTTTGATTCATATAACGATATGTGGAACTAAGCCATCCATATAAAGTATGGTAACTATTTAGATACAAAGACAACATTCCAGGCGCAAGGGAGAAAAAAGAATGATAGAGGGATAGAGTTATGGCTTCCAAGTAAGAACATTTTCGGGAGCCTGCCCAGTTGTTCCAATAGCATTTCCATTTTGCCACCTTAACCAGAATTTAGTTGTACAGCTAAATTGATGCCATGGAATCTGAGAAATGCAGTGTTTTGGCTGGACACTGTGCTTCCTTGAATAAAATTAATGTTCTGGTAAGAAGAAGGAATGGGAGGATGAAAGTTGAGTGAACAATTAGCAATTTCTCTTGCAGTTAAGGATCTCTTTCCCTCTCTCTCTCTCAGACACACACACACACACACACGAATATATAAGCACAAGTAGAATAAGTGGAACTTCTGTTGTGGTTATTCTTCAGCTTCCTGAAGTTCATACTTCCTGAATAGTTCATACTTATGAACCTAAGACATGAGGAGGAACAGTGTTAGGTTCTTTTGTTTCCTCCTATTATTTTTCCACTCATATCGTGAATCTTTCTACTCCTGATTTTGTTGATGAAGTGAACATTATTTGTTAAATTTTTACACAATAAAGCAGTTAATAATTTAATTTAGTTAATTATCTCAATACAATGTGATCCCTGTTTTTTTCCTTAACCATCTAGCATGATCCTATTTACATTTCTGTATTCTTTCAGTTATTGTTTCCATCAAAAAGGCATACTTAGAAAAAGATGTACTTGATTTAATATTAACAGTAAATAGACAACATTTTATTCCTTTATGTTTATCACTATGAGAACAATGAAATAAAGCCTGAGTCATTTCAAAGCCTGGAAAGTAAATCCAGTATGTTTGCTACATGTATAGAAAATTATTTGAACATATTTTCATGTTTCTTGTCTATATCTGCCTTCTCTGCAGGCTATACATAGATGGTCCATTTGGAAGTCCATTTGAGGAGTCACTGAACTATGAGGTCAGCCTGTGCGTGGCTGGAGGCATTGGAGTGACTCCTTTTGCATCGATACTCAACACCCTGCTGTATGTGATTTTGATCTATTTTGTTAGTCCAGACAAAACTGCCAATATTTCAATCACTTCTCTTTTTAGAATGAAATAATTCCTTAAATAATTCATTTACTCACTATTCAGGGGATCCCATCTATTAATTGTTGAGGGGAATAATCAATTTATTCTCAATCATGTGTAGGCTTTCTCCCTTATAAAAATATGTCCTACCACAGTTACATATTCCTGAATCCTTTTTTCTCTGTTAAAAGTCACTCATTGCCATCCTTCATTACTGTGTATCATCAGTGCTAAGTGAAAGCACTGATTCACTCGGTTACCTAGTGCTTTTGAGCACTCATGGACCAGTGAATCTTACAAATACTAGGAGCAGATCAATGAATGAAAATAGATTCCCTGCTCTTAAAATGCTTGTATTCAAGTGGGGCAAGTCAAAAACAAAGCAGTAAGAAATTCATAATGGACTATTCCAAAGATATTAGACCTATGAAGAGAAGAACACAGATTTAAAGGAAAAGGAAATAAAGGGCTGAGCTATTGTTAAAGTATAGCTGGAGAAAGCTTTTTTTATTCTTTTCTAAAAATTTGATTTAAGTTATACAAGTTTAATATATTTCATATATATAGAGATTTAGGACCATAGTGATACTTCTCCTTCCTAAAGCTTTTATGGGATGACAAATGAGTACTCCATTCCTTGGTTTATTACTTAGCAAATTACAAAAGACTGAAGGAAAGGAATTTTAAAGGTGAGATTGCTTCTTGAGGAAATATTCTTTCAGCTTTAATTTCAAGATTATAAGCAAAAGTTAATTGATTGTCATGAAAACACAAACAGAATGACAGCAGAAATTTGCTCTCTAATCTATTCCATTCACTTTTCAGGTAGATAGAATTTGCATTAAAAATCTGTGTTATAGAGTATTGAAAAAAATAAGTTGAAACGATGTTTAAATAATATTTTATTTCAATTTTAAGGACTAGATGTAATTTTGGAACTTTTTGGAGGTTCTTACAAAAATAACCATATTCTAAGCCAGAAATCATTTGTTACTGAGAACACATTACAAGTCATTTGGGCACCTAATGTTATAAAAAATGAACAACATTTCTTAACCTCAAGCCTACTTCATAATTATAAATAGGACTCCAGACTTGGAATTATGAATTGTTGGAATGTATTACATAGTATGTGGTTGTGAAATCTCTTTCTTTAATGATTGTTAAGAAGGGGATAAACAACCAACTTTTTGGAATGGTTTTGGCTCACTTTGTCTGGAAGCCAGGGAAAGACCAAATGACCTTTGGAGCCCTGCTCAGTGATAAAATTCACCAAAAATAGAGAAATGCTTTTCTGAGATGCAAGGGCCAATGTTATTCTTATTTAGGAGTTGAGTTCATGACCTTCAACTGGAAATTAATGATATACATGTAAAATTCAGAGGTATAAATATTTAAATTCATCAAATGTGGCATGTCTGGAAGGCATTATATTGCATTTTCAATTTATTTGGGGGTTATAGTGATGCTACAGTGTAAATCCCTGCTTTTTTTGTTGATTGCTTATGATAAAAAGCACATTTTAAAGCATGTAAGGATTCTTTAATTGTTTGCTATACTAATCACTCCCATGTTATTTTAATTTTGAAGGGATGACTGGAAGCCGTACAAACTTAGAAGACTGTATTTTATTTGGGTGTGCAGAGACATCCAATCCTTCTGTTGGTTTGCAGACTTACTCTGCATGTTATATAACAAGGTAATATTAGGATTGTTTTTAGTTTTGCAACATTTTTAAGTTAAAAAGTTATTTGCTTTTAGATTACAAAGCAATAAATGTTTGCTGAGTAGCAATGAAAAGTCACTTAAACCTAAAAAGAAAATTTTAAAAAGACCCAGAGATAATGATAACTAATAATTAGGGACATACCTTTTCAGATAGGGGTATTGGTGAGTACATGTATATACCTTGACTCTTTTTATTGTAGTAACATTCACTTCAGATAAGGATATGGAGCTGCATACAGCCATTAAGATTTCACTTGGGACACTCACATCACATATCAGAGTGCCTGATTCAAGTCCTGGCTACTCTGCTTCTGATCCAGCTTCCTGCTTATGCATACCCTGAGAGGCAGGAGGTGATTGCTCAAGTACCTGAGTCCCTACCACTCAGGAGGGAGACCCAGATAGAGTTCCCCAGCTCCTGGTTGCACCCTGGCCTGCCCTGACTGTTGTCAGCATTTGGGGTAGATAGGTAGATAGAATATGGATCTCTATCTCTTTCAATGAAAAAGAAATAACATTAAAAAAAAGAAATTTTTAGGGGCAGGCACTGTGGCATAGTGGGTAAAAAAAAGAAACTTTCATTTCTATGTTTTCACATAGGCTGTTCAACATAGAAGTGTATTATTTGGCAAGAAGTGGTAAGGGGATCCAGAGGGACTGAAACATCAGCACATAATTGCTACAACACAACACCTGCCATCCTTTGCTCTAATATCTATCTCTCATGGCCATATTTAATATTGCAAATAGTCAATCTCAAACATTCCAAATTCTAAGCTTTATTTTTTACAGGGAGAAAAGCAGGCATTCTTCACCTGTCCCTTCAACATTTTATCTATTTATCCATCTGTCTTTATTTATTCAAATTATAAAAGTAATACATTTGTGCATCTTTGGTACAAACATCTCAAAGCTTTCAGGGAAAGGAAAATCATACTGGTTTCACCACCTCATCGTTGTAACTCAGAGTAACTCATGAGCTTTATTGTAGTTTCCCTCATATGATTTGCATTGTTACATAAATTGCTGTTTTTAACTTGTTACTACGTCTCAGGTATTTTTAGTATTAGTACATATAGAGTACCTCATTCTTGTTACCATTGTAGAACATTTATTACTATGTATCTAATTTATTTTAAAATGTTAGGTATTACTTTATTTTTAAAAGATTTATTTTATTTATTTGTAAGAGTTAAGGAGAAAGAGAGACAAAGAGAGAGAGAGTAAGGTCTTCCATCTGCTGTTTCAGCCCCCAGATGGTTGCAATGGCCAGAAATGAGCCATGCCTAAGCCAGGAGACAGGAGATTCAACTGGGTCTCCCCTGTGAGTGACAGGGGTCCAATCACTTGGGCCATCTTCTGCTTTTCTCAGACCAGTGGCAGGGAGCTGGATTGGCTATACCATAGTGCCAGCCCCTGGATAATTATTGCTTATTACAAAGAGTGTTGCAATGAATTTTATTATACATGGTTCCTTGTGTATGTGTCATTCATTCAGTCCATCATTCTGTTGTTCAACAAATATTTAGTAGCTGCCTACTATGAATCAGAACTGTCTTTGCACCTGGAGATATGTCAGAAACCAAAACAAAACCATTTCTGATCTCACATGATTTATATTCTAAATGAGGGAGATAGCAAACCAGTAAATGCATGCATAAGGTGTCTGTGGGATTCCAATTAGGACAAAGAAGAAAAAGAATGTAGAAGCAATAGCTTCTTCCCCTTGCTTACTATGCTTCATCCACAGAGCCTCTTACAACTTCTTCCGGCATCCAAGGTATATCATTGTTATACAGCCCTCATCAGTGAAGTCAAGATCACTGTCTTGGTTTCCACCTCCAAGATGTGTATCTCTGAAGTCTCTGCTTATTTTTTTTTTTTTTACTTTTTTTTAACTTTTATTTAATGAATATAAATTTCCAAAGTACAGCTTATGGATTACAATGGCTTCCCCCCCATAACGTCCCTCTCACCCACAACCCTCCCCTTTTTCATTCCCTCTCCCCTTCCACTCACATCAAGATT